TCATTGCTGAAAAGTTTTGTTCTGATAACTGTTTAGGAAACATGGCTTCTAAAACTTATTTAAATCCAACAAACAAAGCAATTAGTAAAGTTTTTTTAATAAAATGATAATTCATCTACTTAGAAAATATGAATGAAAGTTGTAATTCTTAGAAAAATGGTAACTATAATGGAAGCATATATGTAAATTAAAAGGTTTTAAAAAAAAAGTACCACAATATACACGGTTCGACATAAATATAAATTTAACAACACAAGATATTTTATAGATGTGGAAATAACTTAATAAAGCCGAGTTTCCACTTATCCGTTTTTCTAGGGGAACGGGATAGGAAAGGAAAAAATAATCACGTGAGCATGCGTAATAAAAGTTTTTATTTGTCCGAAAGAAAACTGCGCATGCTCACGTGATTATTTTTCCGTTCCCTTTCCCTTTCCCGTAGAAAAACGGGTGAGTGGAAACTCACCTTAACATTCTTTGGAAAAAATTTGAACAAATCTTTTTTTTTAAATATGACCAATTATATTTTATGTTAAAAAAAAAAATATTTTTAAGAATAAATCTGTTTTTTAGTTGTTTTTGTTTTTTATAGAGTTGTTTAGCATTCTATTTTTGCGAAATCTTAGAGTATTAGAAGCCATCTATAAATAATGTCAATAGGTAGAGGGGGGATGGGTAGCTGAAAAATTTGACAATAATTGACAAAGTGGAGGAGTGGGGTTTTGAGACCAAATCAATACTAGAAAATACTTGATCAATACTAGAAAAAAAAGTAGATAAATAACCTAATTTAAAAAAAATGATTTGGAAAAAACGAAACTAGCTGATGTCACCAAAGAGCTAAGAGTATGAAAAAACTTTATAGAAAAAAACTAGAGAGCTGAAAACTAGAGAGCATTATACTCAATTATATCCCCTTATTATTTAGAGTATCAAAACTCTCGACGAGCTGACATCAGAAATGAATAATTAGATTTCCAATCAGCAAGAGCGCCTTCAATGCTCGTCTTACTTAAACAGTCATGGATCAGTGGTTAGAGCTCTGGCTCAAAATCAAGAAGTTTGGTGTTTGACGCCTGCTTTAGCATAATTAGTGACATTAGTAAAGAAGGAGGCGTTTAACTTTCTGCTTAAATGCTCCTCCGCGGTGCTCTGTGATAAGACTAATAGGTCTTCTGGGAGCACCTTAATAACTAAAAAAAAAAGGAAAACATTCCTTTTTTTTGTGGATGGGAATAAGTGCAACATCAGAATGCAAAAGTAATGTCAAAATAATTCCCTTTAGATTGATCAGAGGGCTCAATGAATCCCATTCCAAAACATGCAGATCAATACATTTGTAGTTTAATTATAAAAAATGTGGAAGAAGTTGTTCTCTTTTGGAGCCTGATAAAATGTGTTTAGCCAATACAACAAGGCCAGTGTGCCAATCGGAATCACAGCAGCCAAAAAACGAGAGCCGCAGTTAATGGATTAAGAGTAAGGGCAACTCTCCGGAACACGATTGGGTCGTGGCAGTTAAACAGATGGTAATGCCACCTATGTACGCTGGAATTATCATTAAAAGTGAATTACTAGACGCACGGTGATCATTGTCACTGAAGTACAAATTCCCTTCAAGAGATGTATAATCAGTGTCTTTTTTTAATCCAAAAAGAGTTTCTGTTATGCAATTTAAAAATCGGCTTCTTTAACTAATTCTTCAACTTTTTGAGAGATTTAAGGTTTTCTTTCAAAATGCTCTCAAAAATCCAACGTTTATATCTTATTAAAATTATCTCTGGAACCTTTTTTTTCAGTTGGTGACATAATTTTTTGTCACTAAGCTCTTTAGTTCTATTTGCTTCTTTCAAGTTTGTTACTACTACATTCAACAATGTTGTAAATTTTTCTACATTTCTAGGTTGATTTTCCCAGATAGATTTGAAGTTCTTTAATTCATCCAAGCACATAAGAACCTTTCCCCTTGTTCCGCCATAATTTCTTTCAAGTCTTTTTTTTCTGCTTCATAGGTAAATGACAAATGCTCATGTCTTTGAATTTCGGTCCAATGATTATCAAAATAATACCGATTGCTTGTTAATACTTTATTTGAAGATCTTTTTATTTCGATTAAATATTATGCTGTCTTAAATAATAAGTCAACATATTATTTAGAAAAAAATTTACTCTTTTTATACAAAATGTTAAACCATTGAAAAAGTAATTTAAGATGGTTAAAATAAATCTTTTATTATTAAACTTCTACTATTGGGTTCTTTTTATTCGCGGACCACAAGTAATTTGCGTAAAGCGTAACAACAACGTAATAATAATCTCTTCTTACCATTCTTCCTTTCTTTGATAGATTCCAGTCTATCAAACATCTTTTTATATCAAAGCCAAATATTTTAATAATAATTAACTATATATATCAAATAATTTTATATATTAAAGTCAAACAGACTTTAATATATAAAATTGTTTGATATATATATATAGTTATAACTTTAAAACGTCCTTCTTTATCTTCAAATACTTCTTTGAACTCTACTTAGCGGATAATTTCCTCTGTATCTGGAGAAATTACTAACAACATTATTTATTTTACTTGGCATTTTTTCTGAATCCATTATGATATTTTCCTTTTTTTTTGATAACGAGGGAATCATTCTTCTTCAACCACCTTCTCCAGAAATAACGTACTAATTCTTGCACTCGATACCAACATTTTTTAGGATGATAATATGTAGTGTTAACTGTTTTAGTTGTAAATTGTGACAATTTGCAGCAAAAACAGTTAACACTACAATTTATCATCCTAAAAAATATTGATGTCGAGTGCAAGAATGGCATGGTCAAAAATATGATTAGGAGTCAGTGGAATATATCTTTAGTACCCACACTCTGATAAATTAATAGTCGAGCGTTCAATAAATCCTCAGCTCCTATAAATGCCGTGTAGAATTCCTCATCAGTAATATCTGCTTTTTAAATTAATGCAGTAACTGCACGTTTAGTTGCCATAACCATTTTTTCAAATTTACCTCCTAAGTGAGAACCTAATAAAGCATTGAAGTAATTGCGGAAAAGTAATTTTAGTTTTATCAATATTTTTTATCAATATTTTTTATATTTAGTTGTTGACGTGCTATTTTAGCTCACGAGATCCTGCAAAATTTTGTTGTTCCATTGTCCATCAAAACTTTTAATGGTAATCCTCTTTTGTTTAGATAAAAGGTATTGGGAAATAAGTTTGTATCTAATTTGTCTTATAACTAGATATGTACTGCTCGTGATAGCAAACAAGTAACCAAGCATAAGTGTCACAAGCTCAACAGTGAATCGCCAGTCATCTTTGTACGAGTCAATATTTTACAAAAATCGTGAAATGTGACTACTTTAAGTACTTTAAGTGATACATATGCATTGTAAAAACTGTTATCGCTCTGTTCTTAAAGAACATTGGGCACTCTATTTGTAGAATACACTAACATAATTTATATATATATATATATATATATATATATATATATATATATATATATATATATATATATATATATATATATATATATATATATATATATATATATTGGTAATTTAAAGGGAAATGTAAATAATAGTTGTTTGTAGCAATATTCAGATATTCATTCTCTTCATCCTGTCATTATTGCCCCTTCCCTATGCTTTAATAGTTAAACATTACTTTAACTTCTTTTATAATAATATCTGCAATCATTAAAGTTAAATTTTTTAATACAAGATAGTAAACTTTGTTTAAACAAAGCAATAGACATTAAAATCATTTTTAAAAATTTTTTATTTTATTTCAGTTTTTATGTTTTTTTGCAATAAATGATTATGGTGTTCCACCCATGAAAAACATCATGATGCTCATCTGCTATTTTTCTTATTTTATCGCAACAATTATTTTCCGTACATAAAAAAAAAATTGTTTCCGGATAAAAAAAATTGTTTCCGGGTATAAGAAAAACTCCTATTAAGTAAAATAAAATTACAACAAATACACTTAAGAGGTTTTTTACTTCTTTAGATAAAACGAAATAAAATTTTTTTAATGAATTAGAATTAGGGAGTATAATAATAAAATATATAAATATAAAAAACAAAAAATTTAAAGTTTCTTTGGCCTATGTGACATCTTTCTAAAATTTGTAAAAATTTATCACTAATAACTTAAAAAACCAAAAAAAAAAAAAAAATTCACGGTTTCACAAATTCCCTCTCTCGTTGTTCTTCCCTACTGTTAATCATCCTTGTCTATTTTTACACATTGCCCGACATCTTTTGTTTATAAATAACAAGTCTTTAACGGGTAATTAGTTAAACCTTCTAATCAAAAAAATCAACTTTTAAGTTTTTGGTTATGTTTAGCTATTTTTTGAGTATCTGCGAAAGTTTCAAAAGAACTTTTTCAAATTAATTTGGAATGTAACTTGAAATATTGAAGATGAAAGGGTTTTTAAATTTAAAATTTCTAAAAATTGAAAATTTGAAAATTTATAATTTGTAAGTACTTTTTAATAAAAAACTGATGTCAAGATGTTTGTCTTATTTACTCAACTTTGATATTTTTTGCTTTCTCTCGTTTATCAAATATTTCGTTTACTTTTATCAAACTTATCTGAGTTACATTGTGTATGTTGTAATAGTCAGTTGATTTGGAAAAATATTGTCATTATCCCGATTTGAAAAAAAAGTTAAAAGAAATTAAACAAGCAAGTCATTGTACGCATAGACTTCTGTAAATTGCGCCAAGTCAATTTGTTTAAGCAGAACACATTTAACATGCTGGTAAACAACTGCAACATGCTGGTAAGAAAACTTTCATAGTGAGTTAATAATTAAATAAATCTTTTATAATGGAGTATTGCTAATTTACTTTAAACCTAATTGTAAGAAGTTTTCTAAACCTTATTATTAAAAGTTTTCCTTTTGAAGCAAAAGCTGATGGTTTAAAAGATACAAAAATATCGTTTACAAAGTAAAATAAAGTTTTTTAATAGAAATGTCCAATACAAAAATGTCAACAGAAGTTAACTGAAAATTACAATGTTATCGAGTGACAGCGCTATGTAAACTCCGACCATGGACAATATTTGTTGTCTACGTAAAAGAGCTTTGTTTGAAGATTGCCGCAAATTATTTAACAAAAAGCTTAAAAGATGAAAGACTTACGCGGCTAACGCAATGTCAAACTTGACTTCTACATCAATACTAAGACCTAAAAAAGATTACCACTTCTATTAGATTTTCAAGTATGCTAACGAACGATAAGCCTGCGAGCAGCCAAGCTTCTAATGTCTTAAAAAAGACGGAGAGCCCAGTGCAAGGTATTCGCTTAACTTATGTTTTTCGTTCCCTGGGAATTGCAACTAGCAAAACGATTTTAGGCTTTTAGGCTTTAATAGGATATGCTATGTAAAGTGTTATATAATCCATGATCTGTTGTCATTGCTCTTATCTAAAAGTGTTGATTAAGAGTTTGATGTAAACATAACAGCGTACTCATGTAAAATTCAATTTTTATGATAACAGCGTATTCATGTAAAGTTCGATTTTAATCATGACAGATTTAATGTTTAACAATACGAGCAAATAAAATACTATATTTTTTTTTTAATTGAATTTATTTTTATGTAAAATATGATTTATAGTAGGTAAAAATATTGTGCAACATTTGTATAGCATTTTTATACAAATATTTTTATAATAATGTGACAGTTTCATCATTAATTACGGCGTCGTTTCCGTCAACGTTAAAATTTATATAAAAATAATAATAGAAACTTCATATTTATTCTTTTTAATTCTTTAATTTTGACTCTTTTTAGCTAGGGTTAAACAGGATGTGGAAAATAAAGAAGATACGAGCGGATACACAGCTGGAGTTGATAATCGCATAAGAAGACAAAGAACGCATTTCACCGTCACACAACTTCACCGTTTAGAAACATGTTTTGCAAGAAACAGGTATCCAGATATGGCAATGAGAGAAGATATTGCTCAATGGTGTTCTCTTACGGAGTCGCGCGTTAGGGTAAGTGAAAAATAAAGAAAAAATAACAACAGCAAGTTATAGGCACAATATTTATCCTACAATATTTACAATTATTACAGTATAAACGTTAAAAACGTTTATTATAGGAAAAAATATTTTTTATATTATGCATTATATTAAATATATTATTTTATTAGTATATTTTATTGTATACTTAGTTTTAAAATTTATTAAAAACTGATAGTGATAAATAAAATAAGATAAAAAGATATCTGATAAAGATTTTACACTAAATGTACTAATAAAATCTGTCGGTAAACTTGATAACAAATATATAGGTAAACTTAATTTTAAAAATGTCGGTAAACTTAATAACATGTTTCGGTAAACTTTATGTCAACTTATTTACTTTACAATTGTTTACTTAATTAATATTAGTAATTATTTTATATTTATTTTAACCTTTATTGTATTTGGGCTATTCTATATAGATACCATTTTTTTAATATTTCAAATATTTTAATGTCAATACTATAAAATATATTTAAAATAACTAATTCAAAAATCTCAATTTTTAATTTCTTGTTATATGGACATAATGCTTAATAATAAAATAAATAAAATAAGATTTTGGAATTAAAATTAAATTAGAATGCTTACCATAAAAGTTTAAAAAAAACAAATTTTTATTTTTTTGAAAATGATTTAGAAAATAATCTGTAAATAATAAATAATTTTTTAGTAAAAACAAAGTTTTTTATTATAAGAAATAATTTCAAATTTTTCTGAATTTTTGTTTGTTTCATCTGCTTATTAAGACCTTACGGTCTTGTCACAGAGCACAGCAAAAGAGTATTAAGGAAGAGAGTTCACGTCTTTTTCTTACCTATGTTGCAAATATGGACAAAGCAAACATTGGACTAAAGCAAGCGATCTAACTACAGCGCCATAACCGTTAAAAATGGTTTCTGTTTACTATACTTTATCAACAATATCTGTAAAAAGACTCTCAAGAAATATAGCAATGATGCATCAAACCATTCTTGAACTTTAGGACTTTCAAAAGTTCATAAAAACAAGGTTAAAAAAACTCATATCCTTTATACATATTTATTTAAGGTGCAATAATATTATATAAGCAATCATCGACTACATTAAGTTTAAAATAATTTATTTTAAACAAAAACATGATTTTAGATTTGTATTTAAAGCAAAAGAAATAAGTCTTTTCTATGCAAAAAAAAACGTTAAATGTGCACAGTCAAAGCATATCTAACTTTACAGCTCGTGTATTAAATAAAGCTCTATAAAAAATAGTGTACAAAAATAAATGCATATAAAAAAACTTTCTAATAATATTTAAAATTTATTTTAGCCATTAAATATCATAAATACCACACTAAAAATATAATCATAAATACCTCACTATAAATATAATCTAAGTTAAGTTTTTACTCCATTTTGTATCGGCGACCAATATTGTAAAAACATCAAGTTGCTAATATTAAAAAAAATTTAATAATAATTTTAATATAAACTAAAAATTAATATTAAAGAAATATACACAAAGCTTTCAAAAAACGTTTTGTGTATATTTCTTATATGTTATAGATTTGTAATTTAAGTTTCAAACTATTTTTTCCTTTTAACCAATAAAGCACCAATAAGTTTTATCAGTGATAAGCTAAATTAGCTATATATAATGCTAAATTAGCGAATATATAACAAAATTAATGGCTGGACATAAAGACAACAATTAGCCTCGCTATTTGTTGCCTATATGTCCTGAGAAGACGATTTTCAAGTTGCAGTTGGCTATGTGAGGAATATAGTCGGTTAGTTGGTAATTTGACACATTACCATCGGTGATTTTTAGTTTTGAAGACCTTTTCTTTTTTTAAAAGGAGTCAGTGTTTTTCAAGACTCCCCCTCACCCCCTCCCCTCCCCATTTTATTCCAAGAATTTTTGTTCAGGTAATGGGAAGGAGTGTTCAGGTAATGGGAAAAAATTACTTAAATAATTTTAAGTAGTTTTAGTTATTTTCCTAACAATGAAATATTACATACATTTTGATGAAATATAACAATGAAATATTACATCTAATATTACATTTTTGTTTCATAGTATTATATAGGTATAACAAATCATAGCCCAACTAAATTTTCAAGTTTAAGCGCTAAAACCATAATTTTTTTATCAATTTATCACTTAAAGATGTTTTCAAATTTGTAAAAAATAAAATAAAAGTCTAGAAGCACTAAAACATCTATCTACAACAACTGATAATGGTGATAAAATCTTTAAAGTACAGTGCAATTTTTACAAAGCATTTTCGGACTGTCATTTGGTCCTTCGATACTTCTCTAATATTCACCTCCCTAAGGCCGAGGAGACCAATTCAGCCAAGGAGGCTACTTTTTTTTTTCATTTTTTGATTGTGGTTACAACCCTCCCTAAACTTTTTCACTCCAAAACACAAACCTTGACGAACAAAGCTGCTCTGCGAAGAAACTAATTTGAATGCGGTACTTCCAAGGACTCTAAGCATCTCAATTACTCTAAGCATCTCAATTACAAGGCAAGCTCTCTACCACTTCACCACTACCGCATTTTAGAAAGTCAACCATTTCTTTTTTGATGCAATCCAAAACATTTAAGTAAGCCTTGTTCGTTATTAAATTGAAATTTTGAACTAAGAAAGTATGAAGTTCTTCAGTCTTGCTGTTTTTTTCGTAAAACTTATTTAGTTTCGACATTTGCTTTACATTCAACTGTAGATACTTTATGATCTTTAACATCGTAAGAAAGAGTTTGCAATTTGTTATAAATTTAAAATATCTCCTGCTATAACTTCTTTTTTCTTTTTGATAGTATTAAATATAATATTTTTTCAGTAAAAATGCTATATAACAAAACCAAGAAATCATCAAAAATTAAACTAAAAAATTTATAATAATTTAATTTTAGGATAATTGAAGATTTATACAAACTTTTATAAAATACCAACTTCCTTTTGATTAAATTCGAAAAAAAAAAAAACTACTTGATTTTACTTAAGTAATTGACTCGTTTAAACAATTATTTAAGTACTTAAGTAATTGACACAGCCCTAGTCCTTGACTATTATTATATAACAATAACTATGTTAATATTAATAACAACAACAATAATGATAATAATAATTATAATAACAATAATAATAAATATAATAACAATAATTATTATTATTATTATTAGAATCACAATTATAATAATTATGATAATTATTCATGCTATTATATACTGTTGTTATTGTTACTGTTGTTATTGAAACCATTTTAAGATAAAACGTTGAGATATAAAAACCCGTTTGCTCTAAACTATTTATCCAAATAAAGTAGATTTTTTAAAAGTTAATTTTTTTTAATTGAATAATTTGAACAAGAACTAATTTTTTTTAGATATGGTTTAAAAACCGACGTGCAAAATGGCGTAAAAAGGAAAGACATTTAGAACGCCCCGATATATGCAATTTTGCACCAACATATAGATTCGAATCGCCATCGCCTTACGAAAGAAGACCAACATTTCCAACAACGTATTCTTCAAATGTATCGCAACCTACATTGCCTACTTGCTCCAGCTTAAATAATAGATCCTCGCATGCATCATTAGGTCATTATTATTCCCATAATACCCATTGGTATCCATCAGATCACCCAGTACACTCTCTTTCTCAAAGAAACAGTCCTTCAAACAGTCCAGCTGGCTGGTACGGAATTAACTACAACGAACCAGTTCGAGGATATCCAACTTGTCCGCAAAGTAGCTCCTCAACATTAAGCAGAGAAGACGAAATGATGAGCCCTATTTCGTTTTCTCAACGAACTCATACGTTTTCTCCTGGGGATCATAGTTATCAACATTCAATATAAATATCTTTTGTTACTCAATGTAGAATATGTACATTGCATATATATATATATATACATATGCAGTATATATATATATATATATATATATATATATATATATATATATATATATATATATATATATATATATATATATATATATATATATATATATATATATATATATATATATATATATATATATATATATATATATATATATATATATAGTTTTTATATTTATGACGCAGCTTAGAACGTTTTTTTATTGCAAATGTTAGTAAAATATTTTTAAATTTGCTGACAACAAAAAGACAAAAGATAAAAGGACGAAATCAAATTACCATGTTGACATGACTTAATGAAATCATTAATTTGATAACATTAAATTATCATGGAAAATTGACAGATTAAAATTATCAAAATCCACAAAATGATTTTCAGAGAAGATGACTATATTAGATCATCAAGATTGTATAGTTTTTTTTTTTAAATGTGCATAATAGTAGAAGATATGTAAATAAAGTAACATGAAATATAATATGAAATAAAGTAACATGAAATATAAAGTAACATGAAATGTTGTATAATCAAATATTATAGTAGTTAGAGTTTTTTTACATAGTTGTTGTCATGATAAATGTTTGGACAATAACTTGTTGTTAAAAAACAACATTTTGTTAAGATACAAAAATACAAAGTTCGCTAGGAATTAATTTGAAAAAACTTATGTACTTAACTCATCAAATTTTTAAACCATAATTTTTTTTATATTATATTAAAAATTAATATTGTTGAGAAACATAATTATATGACTTTGCAATAGAAAATATAATACCCAAATTAAACTTTATGAGAATCTATTTTAAAAAGTAAAAAAATGTTACGATATTAATAATCTTTTTAAAGTTCTTAAGCTTAAAATGTACCCATCTTGGATAATAAAAAAGATCCACAATTATTACTTTAAATAAAGATAATTAAGATGTTTTTTTACCGTCTAAAGACTAACAAACTCTGGCTATTTTAAACTTCTTTATACTGGTAAAATATCTAAGCTAACGAAGCGATGATAACACAAAATGTGTTATTATGTGCGGCCGTGGTGCAGTGGTTAGAACTCTTGTTTTAGAAGCAAGTGATCCAAGTTCAAAACGAACTCTAGACATATTTTCGCATCGAGATAAGAAAGGAGGAATAAGGAATATATATATATGTATACATACATACACACACACACAATATATATATATATATATATATATATATATATATATATATATATATATATATATATATATATATATATATATATATATATATATATATATATATATATATATAGTTACCTTTAATATTTTTTTTACAGTGAACCCTCTGAGCTCTTACTCAAAACTTTAAACGTTTTGATTTCTTAGCCTTCAATTCTCGAGTTTTATATTACAACATTCAAATCTTTAAGTTCTATTTTACAGGTTTCAACTCTCTAAAGCTTTAAATTGTGTAATCGAATGCTGGAACTCAAAACAAAAGAGAGATTGTTCAAGAAATTTCTCAAGAATAAGTTCCAAAATGATCTCCTTTCATTTCCAAAATGAAAGGAGATCATTTATTTTGTTTGACTTCGGACTTTGAACGCTATATAGTTATAGTAGCCATGAACTATTGCAACAAAGTTGTTTGAAGCTCTCTTTGTCCTGTTCAGTAGCTTGGTGAACTTGTCTCATTTTATGATCTTCTTGATCTGTGGTCCTATGAAGATAAACTTTACCTCGAACAGCTTTGGAAAAAGATTATGATGTTAATTAAAGAACTTTGTAAAAAGATTGTGATGTTAGGTACTCATTATCAATAGCAGTAAAAAATTGCTTGATGAGACCTAAATTGATGTTCAGTTCCTAAGGTTCTATCAGTGGCTTTCACTTCGTATTGCTCTTGCCCACATAAAACTCAATCCTTTGTAACCAGTTTTTTGATTGTGTACCTTAGTGTCACAGCTGTCACAGAAGTGTTGAAAAAAGAAAATTGTATGAAAACGTCTTGAAATCCCATGAGGAATTACAAAATTCGCACTTCGTCACTTACAGCAAACAAAAAAATTCAAACTTCTTGAACTAATCTTTGGTTGCTACTTCTAATCTATGAAACTGTTTAATTATCTTTACAGACAATAGGAACACTTTCATAATGTTTATAAGTTTTGACATTCCTCTCGCTTTGTTTAATGTTCAGGAAGCTTTATGTAAAACTACTGAGGTTAGGACGCTTTTGTAAATAACAACAGATTGAGTTCAATAAGTTTTCTCTACAGGCAGACACATGCTGCCTGTATAGAAATGTTTGTTGCCCTGTTATGTAAAAGGTTAAATAGTTCTTTAATGAACCAATAATTTATATTCTTACAATAATTACCTAAAATTTCCTCATTATTTATAATTGTAGAGTTTGTGCAAAGATGATTTGTTGATTTGAAATTTAATTATATATTAAGATTTTAAAAAATATAATAAACCATTGCTTTGTTAAAGCCTCACCTGTATAGTAAGATTTTAATAATGCAATTTAGGATGTCATGTCGAAGACCATGCCTATGATATTTTTATTGCATTTATAATTTATGAATAAATTTTTTGACAATTTTACCATCAGTCAAACCAGCTATTATGGTTGAACTTAAAAGTTTAGTTCTATTTATTGTCCGGATACTAAAACAGGTTGACGATAATCAGTATCTTTAGAGTCCAAGGTAACCATTAGTTTTCCGTCCCATTGTGCTGCCATTTCTGGAGACAGATTCCTATTTTTTATTTACTGATATGGTGTTGTACTGATGCTCGATGGAGCTGAACTGGTACTTATATTTATGATTAAAATATCTCCTATAAACCATTATATGTAAAAATGATTTCATCCTAGTAATTCTAACGTTACTCCTTACGCTTCAGTCAACAACATTTGAATTCTAGAAAATATCAACAGATTTAATCGGCATTGTGTGTCGTCTTTCAATTTCAGAGCAGGTTGAGATTGATTCGTCCAATCGACACTATAACTGCTGGTTGGCTCAAACTCAACAGTTTCTTTGAACATTATTGAACAACTTTTTTTTGTAAAACGTTTTTTTATACGTTCTTTTCTGGATTTTCTCAACAACTGTTGCATTAACTTTTTTAAATTTCCAGAATAATATGCCTTCCTGTCAGTTACCATGCATTCCCGACAAGAATAGCATATGTGGCCCACATGTGGTCATAGTGGTTTCGTGTGGATAAAAAGTGCAAAAATATATTACAGTTGATGAATGACGTATTTGATAAAGATAAGTGTGGCCCACTTGTGGAACACATAATGCGGTTCACATAACTATTCTACTTAATTTGGCGTAATCATTAAATAAATACGTGCTAAATTTGATGTGGCTATCATATGGGCCATACATATAAAACTGACGATCTTGCCTCATTCTATCGCAATGAATTGTAAACACTAGAATATTCCATGATATCAAGTGGCCTACCGTTTTGATAATTTTTAATTCATAACTGTTGTAAGTAGGTTTGAGCGATAAAAATAAATATATATAAAACAAAAAGTATAAATATATAAAATAAAAAACAAAAATCTAGGTGTTTTAGAACTTCTGCTTACTGTAATATATAATTTGTTATCATTACTAAACTATGTTTTTTATAATGTGATTTTATGTGTGATTTAGATTTTATAAAGGCATATTGTTAAAAGAATATTATTTAAAACTATATTAAGGTGAGTTTCCACTCATCCGTTTTTCTACGGGAACGGGATAGGAAAGGAAAAAATAATAACTTGAGCATGCGCAGTTTTACTTTAGACAAATTAAAACTTATAATACGCATGCCCACGTGATTATTTTTCCCTTCCTTTTCCCGTTCCCGCGTTCCCGTGAAAAAACGGATGAGTGGAAACTCACCTTTACTTATATACAGGGCCGTACCGACGGGTGTGTGGACGAACCCCCCCCCCCCCCCCTATAAATTTGGATCGATACAATTATGAATAAAGTTTACTACATTTTCGCTGCATTGATTTTCTTGTGAACGGAGGTTGTTTTTTTTGTAGCGTAATAATTATAGGAAAAATAGTACAGTATTTTAAATTTTTACTATTAGTTTGGTTATTTATGTTTTATGGATATATATAATGAATTTACCATATAAATTTGTTACTTAATTTGGTAATATTTTGTCACCATAAGGGATGGCAAAAATCTCGGAAATTTTCAATCCCGGGATTTCGAGATTGAGAAATTAGTCCCCGGGAAATCCCGGGATTTAATAAAAAAAACGCAATTGTTAAAAGAGACAAGCATAATAAGAACTTTTTAAGTACTCATCAAACACTTAAAAATGATTAATTTAAAGATAATACAACTAAAATATTTATTTTATTAATGAACCTAAAATTAAGTTTAAACATCTGATGTTTTAACTTAATTTTGTTATATTAAAACTTATCTAAGATGATAACATTTAAAAATTAATGAACCAAAGTAACAGTATTTTAAATTATAAAACAATACCCTAAATAAAAATAATAATTAAAAAATGATATAAAAATGCAGAATCATACATGAGTTATATATTTTTTTCAAAGTACCACCTTAAAAAACTCAAAGCGTCAATCATTTCGTCGCTTAATCTGTTCGAACATAAAAACCCAGCGGCGGAGAAAGCTCGTTCAGACTCCACTCTTGTTGGCCGTATGGTTATCATATAATCATATGTTTTTTGAAGGTGATTGCCTTTTGCGCTACCACTTTCAAATAACAACATTTCTTTTTGAACTTTAGAAGATATACTTTCTACCCTTATGGGTGGTGTTCGTATTCTTGCCAATTTTTTTTTCCATTACTTTCTTTAATTGTTCGCTATGGTTTTGACTAGTGAATCCAAATCCGGATTTCGGAATTTCGGAATTCCGAAATTCCGTCATATTTTTAATTTTTTAAAATCCGGAATTCAAAAACGTAAATTCCGGATTTTTAGAATTTAGAATTTCGATTATTTAATTCTTATTTTATTTTTTAAGTTATTTAGAACTG